TTTGGACCCAAATCCCTCTGTCCCTCCATATTCCACAATGGTCCCTTCTCTGAACCCAAATATCTTTCTCCCGCCATCATCCAAAATGTTCCTTGCCTGAACCCAAATCTCTCTGTCCCTCTATAATCCACCATTGTCCCTCGTCTATATTCAAATCCCTCTGTCCCTCTAGCATCCACCATTGTTCCTTGGTTGTACCCAAATCTCTCTGTCCCTCTATAATCCACCATTGTCCCTCGTCTATATTCAAATCCCTCTGTCCCTCTAGCATCCACCATTGTTCCTTGGTTGTACCCAAATCCCTCTGTCCCTCTAGCATCCACCATTGTTCCTTGGTTGTACCCAAATCTCTCTGTCCCTCTATAATCCACCATTGTCCCTCATCTATATCCAAATTCCTCTGTCCCTCTATAATCCACCATTGTCCCTCATCTATATCCAAATTCCTCTGTCCCTCTATAATCCACCATTGTCCCTCTTCTATATCCAAATCCCTCTGTCCCTCTAGCATCCACCATTGTCCCTCATCTATATCCAAATCCCTCTGTCTCTCTAGCATCCACCATTGTCCCTCATCTATATCCAAATCCCTCTGTCCCTCTAGCATCCACCATTGTTCCTTGGCTGTACCCAAATCTCTCTGTCCCTCTAGCATCCACCATTGTTCCTTGGCTGTACCCAAATCTCTCTGTCCCTCTATTGTCCCACAATGGTCTCTTCTCTGAACCCAAATATCTCTCTCCTTCCATCATCCAAAATGTTCCTTGCCTGAACCCAAATCCCTCCATCCCTCTATTATCCACCATTGTCCCTCGTCTATATCCAAATCCCTCTGTCCCTCTATAATCCACCATTGTCCCTCGTCTATACCCAAATCCCTCTGTCCCTCTATAATCCACCATTGTCCCTCATCTATATCCAAATCCCTCTGTCCCTCTATAATCCACCATTGTCCCTCATCTATATCCAAATCCCTCTGTCCCTCTAGCATCCACCATTGTCCCTCGTCTATATCCAAATCCCTCTGTCCTTCTAGCATCCACCATTGTTCCTTGGCTGTTCCCAAATCTCTCTGCCCCTCTATTGTCCACAATGGTCCCTTCTCTGAACCCAAATATCTCTCTCCCTCCATCATCCAAAATGTTCCTTGCCTGAACCCAAATCCCTCTGTCCCTCTATAATCCACCATTGTCCCTCATCTATATCCAAATCTCTCTGTCCCTCTATAATCCACCATTGTCCCTCATCTATACCCAAATCCCTCCATCCCTCTATAATCCAGCATTGTCCCTCATCTATACCCAAATCCCTCTGTCCCTCTAGCATCCATCATTGTTCCTTGGCTGTACCCAAATCTCTCTGTCCCTCTATTGTCCACAGTGGTCCTTCCTCTGGACCCAAAGTCTTCTGTCCCTCTTCAGGTCTGATATATGGAAATGTATGTATTTAAAGTATCCCTGTCATAAAAAGAAAAATGGCTTCTGCCGTTTGTGACCTCCTTTGGGGTCAGCTAATTGTGTGCTCGCCGTACTTATCAGCTTCAGTTCTTTCCGACAAAACAGTTTGTGTAGACCAGAGACCTCAGAAGGCCTTATCTGCAGCTCAAATCACTGAAGCCAGAGGATTGGTTTGACAGCCAGGCAACTGGTATTTGTTCAAAGGTTGTCATCAGTTCCATCCTCCATGTTTCTCCAGGAGAGGTTTTTGTAGCGGTTGGTATTTTCTATTATCGGTTTCGGCTGAAGGTGGAGTAGATAGATGAAGATTACATTTGGTATGAATGGTCCATCATCTCATCTCCGGGGTGCTAGCAGTGTGATAATGGGGTGGGCAGGATGAGCGTATATCCTTGGCGCCCCCCCCCTCTCCTATCTCAGGAGTTCCGGGGGTGACGCGGTATCCTATTATAGTTTTTCTCCGTAATATCTGAGTGTTGATGGTATTTATATACGGAGAGTCTGCCTGGAGAGAGAATGACAGCAAATGTTATAATCCCCTCCGTAACGACGCTAAAGGGAACGCGGCGCCATTCATATTAGTCCTCATAATGAGCTCTGCCTGAGCCGTGTCACATATCACGACAGGATGAGCGATCGAGACGACGGCGTCCTGAGGAGACGAATCCCCCACCTGCCAAACTCATCCCGAGGTGCCCCGAAATCTGATTCTCACCTTAATGTACTAATGTCACTTATTGTCACAGAAATTATTCCGGCTCACAAGTGTTGGAGATGATCCACCAATGTATGACCTGCATTCCCTGCCGACTGGTATGTATGCCAGAGACTGAGCCGTCACATCCGTACCAGAGGAGCTTACACTCTAATGTCCCCTCCCCCACAGTCCCATCAGTCTCTGTACCATAGGAGCTTACACTCTAATGTCCCCTCCCCCACAGTCCCATCAGTCTCTGTACCAGAGGAGCTTACGCTCTAGTGTCCCCTCCCCCACAGTCACATCAGTCTCTGTACCAGAAGAGCTTACACTCTAATGTCCCCTCCCCCACAGTCACATCAGTCTCTGTACCGGAGGAGCTTACGCTCTAATGTCCCCTCCCCCCACAGTCCCATCAGTCTCTGTACCAGAAGAGCTTACGCTCTAATGTCGCCTCCCCCACAGTCACATCAGTCTCTGTACCAGAGGAGCTTACACTCTAATGTCCCCTCCCCCACAGTCCCATCAGTCTCTGTACCGGAGGAGCTTACACTCTAATGTCCCCTCCCCCACAGTCACATCAGTCTCTGTACCAGAGGAGCTTACGCTCTAATGTCCCCTCCCCACAGTCACATCAGTCTCTGTACCAGAGGAACTTACACTCTAATGTCCCCTCCCCCACAGTCCCATCAGTCTCCGTACCAGAGGAGCTTACGCTCTAATGTCCCCTCCCCCACAGTCACACACTTGTAATATTAGTGTGAACTTATCAGACCAAACCTGGTGAATGAACATCCCAGTGTGATATCAGGAAAGAAACCCAGAATAGTGTACATATAATTTTGAGCTTTATTAAAACAGACTTCATCAGGAGTTAAGCAAGGGATGCCCCTCCCATTAAATTGAGAATAAATCCCTCCCAGTCCTCCTTCAAAACAGTGGAAGTATAATTTTGAGCTTTATTAAAACACTAAAATAAAATGTCTCTGGATAAAACACGCAGCACATGTATCTACCACCGCCCAACGCGTTTTGTACTACTGGACTTCATCAGGAGCTAAGGAAGGGATGCCCCTCCCATTAAATTGTGAATAAATCCCTCCCAGTCCTCCTTCAAAACATTGGAAATATAATTTTGAGCTTTATTAAAACACTAAAATAAAATGTTTCCAGATAAAACACGCAGCACATGCATCTACCACGCCGACGCGGCCAATGCGTTTTGTACTACTGGACTTCATCAGGAGCTAAGGAAGGGATGCCCCTCCCATTAAATTGGGAAAACAATCCCTCCCAGTCCTTCAAAACATTGAAAATATAATTTTGAGCTTTATTAAAACACTAAAATAAAATGTCTCCAGATAAATCACGCAGCACATGTATCAACCACCACCCGACGCGTTTTTTACTACTGGACTTCATCAGGGACCGGGGAAGTAACACCGCAGTTTCCATTAAGTTGGGAACTAACCCTTCCTATTCCTCCTTCGTTGTACAATTGTAGATTTTTAATTTCCTCTCAGTTTACTTTTGCTGTCATATACTTGTGTCCTCTGCGACTTTGGATACAAATAAAGCGTCTGACGCACAGGCGGGAGCAGGAGGCTGACGTCTGATGTCACACTCCTCAGCAGGTCGATATGTCTATAGACGAACTTACGGTGGGCTCAGCGGGTCGCCTGCCTGTGCTAGAAAAATCATTTTCGTCTCCTCCGGTTATTCTTTTCTTCTTCTATTTCTGTCGTCGCCTGAATCCTCAAATTATTTTCCTTTTGTCCGCCCGGTACGTGCCGCGCTCCCAGCTGCTTTTTTGTGCTATTATTTTTCTGTTATTATTTTGTTTGTTTTTAAGTTGATGTTTCTCCCACGTTTTCTGGACAAACTGTTCTGGTCAGGCATGGCTGGTCGGCGGACGCTGGGTGTCAAAGTGTCACAGTAAAGTGGAACGCCAGCCTGGCCTGTAAATTGTAACTCTGGGGCAACTAAAAGCTGACATATATCAGGCAGTTGGCCCGTTATATATATATATACAGGTGAGACTCGAACAATGAGAATACGGTGCAAAAAGTTCATTGATTTCAGTGCAGCAACTTAAAAGGTGAAACTAATATATGAGATAGACTCATTCCATGCAAAGCAAGATAGTTCAAGCCGTGATTTGTCATCATTGTGATGATTATGGCTTACAGCTCATGAAAAACCCCAAATCCACAATCTCAGAAAATGAGAATATTGTGAAAAGGTGGAATAATCTCGGCTCAAAGTGTCCCACTCTAATCAGCTCATTCAGCCATAACACCTGCAAAGGGTTAATGAGCCTTTAAATGGTCTCTCAGTCTGGTTCAGTAGGAATCACAATCATGGGAAAGACTGCTGACCTGACACCATCACTGACACCCTCCATAAGGAGGGAAAGCCTCAAAAGGGAATTGCAGAAGAAGTTGGATGTTCCCAAAGTGCTGTATCAAAGCACATTAATAGAAAGTTATGTGGAAGGGAAAAGGTTGGAAGAAAAAGGTGCACAAGCAGCAGGGATGACCGCAGCCTGGAGAGGATTGTCAGGAAAAGGCCATTCAAAAGTGTTGGGGACTTTCACAAGGAGTGGACTGAGGCTGGAGTCAGTGCATCAAGAGCCACCACACACAGACAGATCCTGGACATGGGCTTCAAATGTCGTATTCCTCTTGTCAAGCCGCTCCTGAACAACAAACAACGTCAGAAGCGTCTTACCTGGGCTAAAGAAAAACAGACCTGGTCTGGTGCTCAGTGGTCCAAAGTCCTCTTTTCTGATGAGAGCAACTTTTGCTTCTCATTTGGAAACCAAGGACCCCGAGTATGGAGGAAGAATGGAGAGGCCCAAGGACCCCGAGTATGGAGGAAGAATGGAGAGGCCCAAGGACCCCGAGTATGGAGGAAGAATGGAGAGGCCCAAGGACCCTGAGTATGGAGGAAGAATGGAGAGGCCCAAGGACCCCGAGAATGGAGGAAGAATGGAGAGGGCCCCAGGACCCCCGAGAATGGAGGAAGAATGGAGAGGCCCAAGGACCCCGAGAATGGAGGAAGAATGGAGAGGCCCAAGGACCCCCCGAGAGTATGGAGGAAGAATGGAGAGGCCCAAGGACCCCGAGAATGGAGGAAGAATGGAGAGGCCCAAGGACCCCGAGTATGGAGGAAGAATGGAGAGGCACAAGGACCCGAGTATGGAGGAAGAATGGAGAGGCCCAAGGACCCCGAGTATGGAGGAAGAATGGAGAGGCCCAAGGACCCGAGTATGGAGGAAGAATGGAGAGGCCCAAGGACCCCGAGTATGGAGGAAGAATGGAGAGGCCCAAGGACCCCGAGTATGAGGAAGAATGGAGAGGCCCAAGGACCCCGAGTATGGAGGAAGAATGGAGAGGCCCAAGGACCCCGAGTATGGAGGAAGAATGGAGGGGCCCAAGGACCCCGAGTATGGAGGAAGAATGGAGAGGCCCAAGGACCCGAGTATGGAGGAAGAATGGAGAGGCCCAAGGACCCCGAGTATGGAGGAAGAATGGAGAGGCCCAAGGACCCCGAGTATGGAGGAAGAATGGAGAGGCCCAAGGACCCCGAGTATGGAGGAAGAATGGAGAGGCACAAGGACCCCGAGTATGGAGGAAGAATGGAGAGGCCCAAGGACCCGAGTATGGAGGAAGAATGGAGGGCCCAAGGACCCCGAGTATGGAGGAAGAATGGAGAGGCCCAAGGATCCCGAGTATGGAGGAAGAATGGAGAGGCCCAAGGACCCGAGTATGGAGGAAGAATGGAGAGGCCCAAGGACCCCGAGTATGGAGGAAGAATGGAGAGGCCCAAGGACCCCGAGTATGGAGGAAGAATGGAGAGGCACACACTGCAAGATGCTTGAAGTCCAGTGTGAAGTTTCCACAGTCTGTGTTGATTTGGGGAGCCATGTCATCTGCTGGTGTTGGCCACTGTGCTTCATTAAGTCCAGGGTCACCGCAGCCGTCTACCAGGAGATTTTGGAGCACTTCATGCTTCCTTCCACAGACGAGCTTTATGGGGATGCTGAGTTCATTTTCCAGTAGGACTTGGCTCCGCCCACACTGCCAAAAGCACCAAAACTGGTTCAGTGACCGTGGGATTACTGTGCTTGATTGGCCAGCAAACTCGCCTGACCTGAACCCCATAGAGAATCTATGGGGCATTGCGAACAGAAAGATGAGAGACATGAGACCGAACAATGCAGAAGAGCTGAAGGGCCGCTATTGAAGCATCCTGGTCTTCCATAACACCTCAGCAGTGCCACAGGCTGATAGCTTCCATGCCACGCCGCATTGAGGCAGTAATTGCTGCAAAAGGGGCCCAAACCAAGTACTGAGTACATATGCAGCTTCTACTTTTCAGAGGTGCGATATTGTTCTATGTACAATCCGTGTTTTATTGATTGCATGGAATATTCTCATTTTCTGAGATTGTGGATTTGGGGTTTTCATGAGCTGTAAGCCATAATCATCACAATGATGACAAATCACGGCTTGAACTATCTTGCTTTGCATGGAATGAGTCTCATATATTAGTTTCACCTTTTAAGTTGCTGCACTGAAATGAAATGAATGAATGAATGCACCAGATTCTCATTTTTCGAGTTTCACCTGTATATATACTTCACTCCCCATTATCCATGTCCCCGGTGAGATCTGCACTCCAGTACACACACCTCACCCCCCAGTATCCATGTCACCGGTGAGATCTGCACTCCAGTACACACACCTCACCCCCCCCAGTATCCATGTCACCGGTGAGATCTGCACTCCAGTACACACACCTCACCCCCCAGTATCCATGTCACCGGTGAGATCTGCACTCCAGTACACACACCTCACCCCCCAGTATCCATGTCACCGGTGAGATTTGTACACCAGTACACACAGCTCACTCCCCAGTATCCATGTCACCTGTGAGATCTGCACTCCAGTACACACACCTCACACCCCAGTATCCATGTCACCTGTGAGATCTGCACTGCAGTACACACAGCTCACCCCCCAGTATCCATGTCACCGGTGAGATCTGTACACCAGTACACACAGCTCACTCTCCGGTATCCATGTCACCGGTGAGATCTGCACTCCAGTACACACAGCTCACCCCCCAGTATCCATGTCACCTGTGAGATCTGCACTCCAGTACACACAGCTCACCCCCCAGTATCCATGTCACCGGTGAGATCTGCACTCCAGTACACACACCTCACCCCCCCGGTATCCATGTCACCTGTGAGATCTGCACTCCAGTACACACAGCTCACCCCCCAGTATCCATGTCACCTGTGAGATCTGCACTCCAGTACACACAGCTCACCCCCCAGTATCCATGTCACCGGTGAGATCTGCACTCCAGTACACACACCTCACCCCCCGGTATCCATGTCACCTGTGAGATCTGCACTCCAGTACACACACCTCGCCCCCCAGTATCCATGTCACCTGTGAGATCAGCACTCCAGTACACACACCTCACCCCCCAGTATCCATGTCACCGGTGAGATCTGCACTCCAGTACACACACCTCACCCCCCCCAGTATCCATGTCACCGGTGAGATCTGCACTCCAGTACACACAGCTCACCACCCCCAGTATCCATGTCACCGGTGAGATCTGCACTCCAGTACACACACCTCACCCCCCAGTATCCATGTCACCGGTGAGATCTGCACTCCAGTAGACAGACCTCACTCCCCAGTATCCATGTCACCTGTGAGATCTGCACTCCAGTACACACACCTCACCCCCCAGTATCCATGTCACCGGTGAGATCTGCACTCCAGTACACACACCTCACCCCCCAGTATCCATGTCACCAGTGAGATCTCGGTGTTAAGGGCTCACACACCAAGAGGCCACTTTTAATGGCGTCCCGCCGGCGTCATCAGGTTAAATAGGCACAAAACCTGGACCCAGTTCAGTCCTCTAATGTTATCGCAGCTTTATCCACCTTTGAATCTTCGAACCTGTCCACACTGCAGATACCCGATCTTCCTGCTACCTAACCCGCTGCATACACGAGCAACTGCAAGGAGAAGGAATACAATGTATCTGCATGGAATCCCGACACTGGGAATGTCATATTCCCATCACTGGCTGCTCCTTCTCCCCGGTGCACATTGTGTATTTATAATCATGAGGATCGTTAGTATGAGGAGCGGGAACCTGTCACCGCGGGGGCCACAAGAGGTGTATATTTAGATGGCGATAAATCATCCCGCTACCAGCGGGGAGGAGAACGATCCTCACATTCCTGCAGTCTGAAATGCAGAATTCCAGGATGGATAGAAATCAGCAGCAATCTCATCTGATATCGGCTTCTGTCCTCTCCATGATCTTCATATTAAATGGGACAATTCAGCAACTTTACAAATCTCCACGAGGAAAATCCTGACATGTCGCGATATACAGCATTTGTGTACTTCAGAAAACCTCCCACCATCCATGTCCCCAGTGAGATCAAAAACACACCTCACCCCCCAGTATCCATGTCACCGGTGAGATCTGTACACCAGTACACACACCTCACCCCCCCAGTATCCATGTCACCGGTGAGATCTGTACACCAGTACACACACCTCACTCCCCCCAGTATCCATGTCACCTGTGAGATCTGCACTCTAGTACACACACCTCACTCCCCGGTATCCATGTCACCGGTGAGATCTGCACTCCAGTACACACACCTCACCCCCCGGTATCCATGTCACCGGTGAGATCTGTACACCAGTACACACAGCTCACCCCCCGGTATCCATGTCACCGGTGAGATCTGCACTCCAGTACACACACACCTCACCCCCCGGTATCCATGTCACCGGTGAGATCTGTACACCAGTACACACAGCTCACCCCCCGGTATCCATGTCACCGGTGAGATCTGCACTCCAGTACACACACCTCACCCCCCCCCCGGTATCCATGTCACCGGTGAGATCTGTACACCAGTGCACAGACCTCACTCCCCCCCAGTAATCCATGTCACCGGTGAGATCTGCACTCCAGTACACACAGCTCACCCCCCAGTATCCATGTCACCTGTGAGATCTGCACTCCAGTACACACACCTCACCCCCCAGTATCCATGTCACCGGTGAGATCTGCACTCCAGTACACACACCTCACCCCCCGGTATCCATGTCACCGGTGAGATCTGTACACCAGTGCACAGACCTCACTCCCCGGTGTCCATGTCACCGGTGAGATCTGCACTCCAGTACACACACCTCACTCCCCAGTATCCATGTCACCGGTGAGATCTGCACTCCAGTACACACACCTCACCCCCCAGTATCCATGTCACCGGTGAGATCTGCACTCCAGTACACACACCTCACCCCCCGGTATCCATGTCACCGGTGAGATCTGCACTCCATTACAGTATATAGTGGGAATATTCGGTGAATAATCCTGCATACACAAACATGCTCCACATTCACAGGAGTGAATAGCCTTTGTCGTGTTCGGGGACCTCAGTAGTTTCTCGTTTTTAAATACTCTCCAATTTTTTCCATCCTGAAAGGTATCGGAACATGTGACCCTCGCTTTTAATTTTCTGTTCATCCTTTAGGCTCTGAATCCGCTTTGAATCTCGCCGCTCCGCACCCGCCACAACCACGTTTCCTTCCTGACATTTGTGTCGCTTTCTATACATTTTAATTTGTCCTCCATTAGGGAAATTTTCACAGAACGGCGGGATGACTTCAGCTGTCCGCCGAGATAAAAACTCTTCTTGTGAGGCGTAAACAATGCAGGCTTCTTTTTTTTTCCTATTTGCATTTTTTTTTGGGGGGGGGGGGGGTTGTATGTTGTTCTCTTTGTTTTTGTTTTCTTTGTTTTTGTTTTTTTTTTTGTTGTGTTTGTTTTGAATATTTTGTATTTGAAGATAATTTCCCTCATAAGTGGATAAGTTGCATCTGAAAATAAATACGTTTTGCCGAATAATAAACCTTTTTTCAATTTAAAAATGATTAGAAATACTTTTTAATTGTTTAGTTGCGAATGAAATGATCTCAGAATTGTATTTGCAGTTCGAAGGTCACAATCGTCCTCACGAGGGGCTGCCGGATATTTCTCTCAGAGAATCAACTAATTACATTTGTAGCAATTATCATAATTAGTGCTGAAAATGTCCATCAGCTGAGCAGAGATCTCCTGTCCGTGTTCTGAGCTGAGACATCGATGTTACAATGTATCCAAACACAAGAGAACCAAGAGGACAGATTTCCCAGCTTAGCAGTCCATAGAGGTGGTGGCTGCGTTAGTTTTCCTTTTTATTTTCACCGGGTGATCCCGTCCGGTGATTGTTCTACCGAGCAGGGGCGGACTGACAACTCACGGGGCCCCCGGGCAATAGGGGATCATGGGGCCCCTGTGTCCTGGCTCACACTCAAAAAAGCCTATGAAAGGTACCAGGGGGCATCTCATGGGGCCCCCTACTGACCCAGGGCCCTCAGACAGTGCCCGAGTGCTCGAATGGTCAGTCCGCCCCTGCTACTAAGATATACCCAGATACCGAGAATTTGGGCTCAAGATTCAGATTGGTGTACCAAGACCTACCTACACACCTCCACACTGGGATTTGCACTCAGTTTTCTGATTGGTGTATCTTGATATAAATGTACCAGGTGTTCACAATTGGAAACTCGGCACAGGGATGGTGGGAACCCTCATAATGGGCACAGCGGGTGTACAGACCCGGGAACTCAGCACAGGGATGGTGTGAACCCCTCATAATGGGCACAGCGGGTGTACAGACCCGGGAACTCGGCACAGGGATGGTGGGAACCCCTCATAATGGGCATAGCGGGCGTACAGACCCATAACTCAGCACAGGGATGGTGGGGAACCCCTCATAATGAGCACAGCAGGCGTACAGACCCGAGAACTCAGCGATGGTGTAACCCCTCATAATGGGCACAGCGGGTGTACAGACCCGGGAACTCGGCACAGGGACGGTGGGAACCCCTCATAATGGGCACGGCGGGTGTACAGACCCGGGAACTCGGCACAGGGATGGTGGGAACCCCTCATAATGGGCACGGCGGGCGTACAGACCCAGGAACTCGGCACAGGGATGGTGGGAACCCCTCATAATGGGCACAGCGGGTGTACAGACCCGGGAACACAGCACAGTGATCACATGATCGGGACCTCGCGCAGAGGTCCCGTCCAACGATCGGTGTTCCACTGTGCCCATAATGATGGGTGCCGTTTATAAACAGAGGCAGGTGGTAGGCCACTGTATAAATACGTTGGCAGGGTGGCATGGCTGGGCAAAAGCACGTTTTAAAACGTGTGTTTTGTAAACAGGTAGGGGCACGTGCGAGGTGCGCTGCCGCCCTGCCTGTCCTGCCGATCACAGCTGCTGATGTCAGTCGCCGGGTCACAGCCGGTCTTTTTACCGGCTATGTCCCGGCGATTAGCGGCAATCACTGACAGAGAGCACAGCTGCAGTAGCTGTGCTTTCTGTCAGTTCCCTGACAGCTCCTGACACGCTGATTGGGAGAGAAGAGCTTCTCTCTCTGATCAGTGGTGTTCCCTGCAGTACACACCCCCGCCCCCTAGTAAAACACTCCCCTCACACAGTTAACCCTTTCCCTGAATAATAAACTTAACCCCTTCCTCCCCAGTGCCATTAGTACAGTGTCAGTGTTTTTGCACTGATCACTGTATTGGTGTCACTGGGGATGTCAGTGACCCCAAGTCAGTACCCCCCGAATGTCAGAATGTCCGCCACAGTTCCGCAGTCTCGCCATAAGTCGCTGGTCGCCGCCATGTCACTGATCGCCGCCATGTCACTGATCGCCGCCATAAGTCACTGATCGCCGCCATAAGTCACTGATCTCCGCCATAAGTCACTGATCGCCGCCATGTCACTGATCACCGCCATAAGTCACTGATCGCCACCATAAGTCGCTGATCTCCGCCATAAGTTGCTGATCGCCGCCATAAGTCGCTGATCTCCGCCATAAGTTGCTGATCGCCGCCATAAGTCGCTGATCTCCGCCATAAGTTGCTGATCGCCGCCATAAGTCGCTGATCGCCGCCATGTTACTGATCGCCGCCATAAGTCACTGATCGCCTCCATAAGTCGCTGATCGCTGCCATGTCACTGATTGCCGCCATAAGTCACTGATCTCCGCCATAAGTTGCTGATCGCCTCCATAAGTCGCTGATCGCCGCCATAAGTTGCTGATCGCCTCCTAAAGTCGCTGATTCACCACCATAAGTCACTGATCTCCGCCATAAGTTGCTGATCGCCTCCATAAGTCGCTGATCGCCGCCATAAGTTGCTGATCGCCTCCTAAAGTCGCTGATCACCACCATAAGTCACTGATCTCCGCCATAAGTTGCTGATCGCCTCCTAAAGTCGCTGATCACCACCATAAGTCACTGATCGCCGCCATTATTAGTATAAAAAAAAACTAAAACTCCCAGTATCTTTCCCGCCATTTATAAACGCTTTATCTTTCACGTAAACCAATTAATTTACATGTATTGGGGTTTTTTTGTAGCAAAGACATGTCGCAGAATACATTTTGGCAGAAATTTATGACTAAATTTGATTTTTAAATTTTTTTTTTTTACCGGACATGTTTTTATAGCAAAAAGTCCAAAATATTGTTTTTTTTCCTCAAAATTGTCAGCCTTTTTTTTTTATAGCGCAAAAAATAAAAAACCGCACAGACAATCAAATACCACCGAAAGAAAGCTCAATTTGTGGGGAAAAAAAGGATGTAAATGTCATTTATGTACCGTATTGCATTTGCATGACCGCGCAATTGTCCGTTAAACTAGCGCAGCGCTGTATAGCAGAAAAATGGTGTAAATTGCAGTATCTCTCCCATAGTTTGTAGACGATATAACTTTCACACAAAGCAATCAATATACACTTATTGGGAATTTGATTTTTTTTACCAAAAACGTGGAACAGAATACATTTTGGCCGAAATTTATAACCAACTTTGAGTTTACTATATATTTTTTATAGCTGAAAGTAAAAAATATTGTTTTTTTCTTCAAAATTTTTGGCATTTTTTTGTTTTATAGCGTGAAAACTAAAAAGTGCACAGGTGATAAATACCACCGAAAGCTCTATTTGTGTGAAAAAAAGGACGTAAAGTTCGTTTGGGGTGCAGCGTTGCACGACCGCCCGCCGCGCAATTATCAGTTGAATTAGTGCAGCGCCGAGAGTAGCAAAAAGAGGCGTGGTCATTAAGGGGGGGGGGGGTAAATCCTCAAGAGGGGTTAAATCTCTCAGGGGTTAAGGTGAGGGGGGGGGTCAATGGCAATCTAGCCCTTGGAGGATCCCGATTTTTCACCCATATCACCTTCATCTCCAGTATATGTGGTTCACTCGTTTGAAGAATGCACAAGGGGACTTTTTCGCCATTATATATGAATGATTTAGTGGCACATTTTTCTGCAATACGCGGTTTTCTTTTAAAAGTTTTTCTTTTTCACAACATGTTATGGTGATGGAACACTTTTTATGTGTTTGTGTTCACACTTATTTATCCCAATTAGGGATTGTAGTTTGTGTAGTTTGAGTAGTTTGTTAGTTTTGTGTAGTTTGTTTTGAGTTTGAGTTTTGTGTAGTTTGTGTAGTTTGAGTGTTTTAGTTTGTAGTTTGTGTAGTTTGTGTAGTTTGTTTGTGTAGTTTGTGTAGTTTGTGTAGTTTGTGTAGTTTGTGTAGTTTAGTTAGTAGTTTGTGTAGTTTGTGTTTGTGTAGTTTGTTTTTTTGAGTAGTTTTGAGTAGTTTGAGTAGTTTGTGTTTGAGTTTTGTGTAGTTTGTGTAGTTTGAGTAGTTTGTGTAGTTTGTGTAGTTTGTGTAGTTTGTGTAGTTTGTGTTTGAGTAGTTTTGTGTAGTTTGTGTAGTTTGAGTAGTTTGTGTAGTTTGTAGTAGTTTGTAGTTTGTAGTTTGAGTAGTTTGTGTAGTTTGTGTAGTTTGTGTAGTTTGTGTTTGTGTAGTTTTTGTGTAGTTTGTGTAGTTTGAGTAGTTTGTGTAGTTTGTGTAGTTTGTGTAGTTTGTGTAGTTTGTAGTAGTTTGTGTAGTTTGAGTAGTTTGTGTAGTTTGAGTAGTTTGTGTAGTTTGTAGTTTGGGTAGTTTGTGTAGTTTGTAGTTTAGTTTGTAGTTTGAGTTTTGTGTAGTTTGTGTAGTTTGTGTAGTTTGTGTAGTTTGTGTAGTTTGTGTAGTTTGTGTAGTTTGTGTAGTTTGAGTAGTTTGTGTAGTTTGTGTAGTTTGTGTAGTTTGTGTAGTTTGTGTAGTTTGTGTAGTTTGTTAGTTTGTGTAGTTTGTGTAGTTTGTGTAGTTTGTGTTTTGTGTAGTTTGAGTAGTTTGTGTAGTTTGTGTAGTTTGTTTTGTTTTTTGTGTAGTTTGTTGTAGTTTTGTGTAGTTTGAGTTTGAGTAGTTTGTTAGTTTGTGTAGTTTGTGTTTGAGTAGTTTGTGTAGTTTGTGTAGTTTGTGTAGTTTGTGTAGTTTGTGTAGTTTGTGTAGTTTGTGTAGTTTGAGTTTTGTGTAGTTTGTGTAGTTTGTGTAGTTTGTGTAGTTTGTGTAGTTTGTGTAGTTTGTGTTTTGTGTAGTGTTTTGTGTAGTTTGTGTAGTTTGAGTAGTTTGTGTAGTTTGTGTAGTAGTTTGTGTAGTTTGTGTAGTTTGTGTAGTTTGTGTAGTGTTTTGTGTAGTTTGTGTAGTTTGTGTAGTTTGAGTAGTTTGTGTAGTTTGTGTAGTTTGTGTAGTTTTTGTAGTTTGTGTAGTTTGAGTAGTTTGTGTAGTTTGTGTAGTTTGTGTAGTTTGAGTAGTTTGTGTAGTAGTAGTTTTGTGTAGTGTGTAGTTTGAGTTGTAGTAGTTTGTGTAGTTTGTGTAGTTTGTGTAGTTTGTTTGTAGTTTGAGTGTTTGTGTAGTTTGTGTTGTTTGGTAGTTTGAGTAGTTTGTGTAGTTTGTGAGTTTTTGTGTAGTTTGAGTAGTTTGTGTAGTTTGTGTAGTTTGAGTAGTTTGTGTAGTTT